AGAGTGAAACTTCGTCTCAAAAAAAAAAAAAAAAACCAAAACACCTGTGTTTCCCATTGGCATAATGAATTAGTAAGCATAAATTGGAATTCCAGGCCTGGAAATTTACTTCATACCATAACAATGTCAAAAATCAGAACAAATATAAGCTCTTCAAAATGTTTATTAGCCGTATAAAACTGAACAATATGAACTGTGATGTAAATGTTCCTTTGAGGTATTTTTCTTCATGGGCTCGACTGGCCGAAGTTTTTTTGACTCTTAGTTTAATGAAGTTTGGATACAACATACCATCTTTTCCTGGTGAATCTTCCTGGAGCATACATAGATATTTTTCCTTACTCCAGAGACCATTGAATTGCATTGAAAATTAGGGTCATCTGCCACAAAGAAAAAAAAGAATTCAATGATGTTCAGGTGAATGCCTCCCAAAAGTTTTTGAATGCTAAATGTTGGGAGAGGGACAGTTTCAATGATGTCTTATTCTTCCATTTTTATAAAAATCTACTTTGCTGAGCTTCTGAGAAATATCTAGCAATACTACCAGTTCGCAGGAGAAATTTCTAGATTCACTCTGCAGTGTCTGTCAGTTTCAGTGTTATTTTTTACAGTTATACAAATACCTTAAAAAATACTCAATGAGGGAGTTTCCTCCAAATTCCTAGTTCCAGGCTTCACTTATGTCCAAAACACTTCCAAAATTCTTTTTGATCTATCCTCCTTGTTGATTGCTTTAATTGGCCTTTGCAAATGTCACATATAAAGATACCTTAAGAATGGTCTTTCAGTAAAAACAAAGCCGAAAGCAGAATAAAAAGAAAAAAAGAGAAAAGAAAAAAAAAAAAAAGAGTAGGCCGGGCACAGTAGCTCACACCTGTAATCCCAGCACTTTGGGAGGCCAAGGCGGCTGGATGACGAAGTCAGGAGGTGGAAGGAGACCATCCTGGTGAAATGGTGAAACCCCATCTCTACTAAAAATACAAAAAATTAGCTGGGCGTGGTGGCACGTGCCTGTAGTCCCAGCTACTCGGGAGGTTGAGGCAGGAGAATCGCTTGAACCCGGGAGGCGGAGGTTGCGGTGAACCAAGATTGCACCAGGCTGGGTGAGGTCAAGAGATTGAGACCATCCTGGCCACGGTGAAACCCCGTCTCCACTAAAATACAAAAAATTAGCCGGGTGTGATGGTGCACACCTGTAGTCCCAGGTACTCAGGAGGCTGAGGCAGACGAATTGCTTGAATCTAGGAGACGGAGGTTGCAGTGAGCTGAGATCATGCCACTGCACTCCAGCCTGGCAAAAGAGCAAGACTCTGTCTCAAAAGAAAAAAAAAAAAAAGAATGCAACAAATTCTGTAGCAAGCCAACTCAGAAAAAACAAATGCAACAACTTATTTGCTCTATTGGTTTAAGTCAGTGAGATGCTTTGTGAAGATCAACTGGGGAGGAAGGAAAACTACTCTAGTGTCAGGATGCTGCTGCTTATGAATTGGGAGACAGCCTGGAGCAACCCAGGACAGCTAGCATTAAACCTAGTTGTTATGAACTTTTTAAAAAAATGCCATAGTTTCTTGACTTATGGAACAAAGTGGAGTGAAAATCAAAGCTTGAGAATGGACTCTTCAAAATACTTTAGTTCATTAATTAAAGCCTACTGCTCGTGTATGCCTGGCAGGATGAAGTTAAGGCAACGATTTCAATTTGGAGTCAATTGCAATATGCAATACCTCCTACCCAATCACAGAGTCAATATTTAAAATTTTTCTTCCTTACCAAAGTCAGCTTTCTAAAAAAAAAAAAAAAAAAAAAAAAAAAATTTTATCAATGGCAACTACCTGTCTCAAACAGTAGCAGACCCCTGCATTTTAGTTAAGTTTTCTGCAAAAATCTTCAATGCTTCAATATTAGCAACAAACAAAAACTGTTCATAGTTTCAAACTGTTCAAAGAAAATGCCTATCCTCTTATTTTCTATCCACAGCAGGGTCCTAGTTCAGGCCCTCCTTTCTTTTACAGTAATTATTATATAATAACCTTGAAACCAGTCTAACACAATTCTCTGGATCTTTTTTACAATGCACCACTAGTATCTTTTTAAGTTATGTATGGTCGGCTGGGCACAATGGCTCACACCTGTAATCCCAGCACTTTGGGAGGCCGAGGCAGGTCGATCACCTGAGGTCAGGAGTTCGAGATCGGTCTGACCAATATGGTGAAACCCCGTCTCTAAAAAAAAGAAAAAAGAAAAGAAAAAAAAAGATATGTATGGTCTTTTGAACCTTCATTCAACCTTGCACAATCCCTCCAGCATTAGCATTTATCACATTTTGTTGTCATTATCTATTTACAAAAATCTCCATTTTATCTTGATTTCCTAGTGGGCAGCCACTAATTCTTACTGGTCTTTGGTCTGCTGCATAGTCAGCACATAGCACTCTACAAAAGCACCTTTAGTTAATTATGAATCCAACTCTCACATTAGCTTTTAGATGGCCTAAGAATTCCCTCTTTGAACACCAGATATCAGTTTCCTTCTTAACCCAATATTCTTATGTGAAAATTTTACTGTAAATATTGATGAAAAACACCTGAATTTTTCTTTGAAGCTAGTGCACTGGAAAAATGCACTTCTAGTGACTTAAAGTGATCATATATAAACACCAATTGCCATATATATATGGTAATTGGTGTTTATATATATATGTATGTTAAGAGACAGGCTCTCACTCTGCACCCAGGCTAGAATGCAATGGTGGTATCGTAGCTCACTGAGATTACAGGTGCAAGCCACAGCACCCAGCCCAATTATCATAATCCTTTTATAGCTTTGTCATTAGTAGCTACTAAAAGATGTGAGTTGCCTGCTCCAGTTCCTGTAGCTTTTTAGGTTTTATCACCCATACCCACCAGCTTTTACATCAATTCTGCCTGCACCAATTCATCTCACACTTCAAAATGTTAAGATACCATAGACTAGAAAGCTAATATAATCAAGCTTGTTAGAAATATTTATATCAAAGGTTGATCATAATTACACACACTCAAAGTCCCAGTTACTCCAGAGGCAAGAAGATCCCTTGGGCTCAGGGATTTAAGACCAGCCTGAGCAACAGTGAGACCAGCTCTGGTTCTAATCAACACCAGAAAAAGATGCCATAGAAATAACACTATCATTTCAATTTGCACTCAACTCTTTTTTTGTAGGGATAGGGTCTCACTGTACTGCCCGGGTTGGTCTCAAATTCCTGGCCTCAAGCAATCCTCCTGCCTTGGCCTCCCAAAGTGGTGGGGATTATAGGCATGAGCCAAGACACCTGGCCTCAAATTTTAAAACCCAGCCTAGTTTAGTAAGAATTAAAACCCTTTCCACTTTAAGGGCTGGGCATCTGTAATACCAGGACTTTGAGAGGCTGAGGGCAGATCACCTGAGGTCAGGAGCTTGAGACCAGCCTGGCCAACATGATGAAACCCCGTCTCTACTAAAAATACAAAAAATTAGCTGGGTGTGGTGGTGCATGCCTGTAGTCCCAGCTATTTGGGAGGCTGAGGCAGAATTGCTTGACCCCAAGAGGCAGAGGTTGCAATGAGCTGAGACTGCGCCACTGCACTCCAGCCTAACAGAGTGAGACTCCATCTTAAAAAACAAACCAAAAGGCCAGGCGTGGTGGCTCACGCTTGTAATCCAAGCACTTTGGAGGCCAAGGTGGGCGGATCACCTGAGGTCGGGAGTTCAAGACCAGCCTGACCAACATGGTGAAACTGTCTTTTTTAAAAACAAACAAAAAAACCTCCCCATTTTAGTTTTCTTCTGTGACTCAGTCCAAATCAGTTATGAATCATATTATACATTTACTTAATAATCTTAAGGTATTTTAAATTACATCATGCTACATTTTTAGCAAGTCACATGCATAACATGCAATGTGATATGAAAATATTAAACATTTATGAAAAACATATTCAAAGTTGACAGGTAAATTTTTCTTTTTTTTTTTTTTTTTTTAAGATGGGGTTTCACCATGATGGCCAGGCTGGTCTTGAACTCCTGACCCCAGGTGATCCACTCACCTCGGCCTCCCAAAGTGCTAGGATTACAGGCGTGAGCTACCACACCCGGCCGTAAATTTTTCTTAAATAGCAAAATGTAGCTTTGTTCTAAAGCCCATCACGAAAGTCAGTAAATTTCATATTCAATCAAAAGTGCCCTCTGCTTTTAAAATGGTATATTATACACACTATACATTTAATAACATAGTGATAATGTAGATAAAATATTAGAAAATAGGCATCACAAGGATTTAGACAATTAAGGTAAGCTCAGAGTGACTTTTAATATGCCAATCCATGTTAATAAAACACAAGTCAAAGACAAGTGCAAACATGTTTTAGACCAAAATTAATGAGACAAACAATAGACAATTTTTTTTCAACATCTGTTAGCCAGTATTATTAGTCAAATGGCTAATCACAGATAAAATATATTTTGTGAAAAACTTGGAATGTCAGAAGTCATTCTGGCATTTCAAACAGCTATGTACAGTATCATCAAGATCAGTTTATATACACAAATAATTGAAGAGAAACCAGGCAAAACATTTAAAAACAGACTAACAATACAATCAAGTACAAAACTTGGGGGAAGACATTTTAAAAGAGTCAGGGAAGGACATTACCAGAAAAAGTTACAAAACCAGTAATTATTATTATACTACATTAATACAGCATTCCAAAGGGGGGTAAGGGTGCATTTTTCCAATGCACTAGCTTCAAAGTTCAATGGAAAAAAAAAAAAGGCAAATAGCTGCTTTTCATCAAAACCAGCTATACATTTCACATAATTGTTTCGAAAAGAAAACCTATTCACAACAATGATTGTTTAATGCTACAAGTTTACAGCAAAGACAAAACTAAAATAGCAGCAAATTCACAAGGCAATACTTCCACAGAATTATCATCCCATGGTTCATGCAATGCCTACAAAGTGCTCCCAGTGGGATATACAAGTATAATTCACAATTTTAAAAAAAAAGAAATATAAGAGGGACACACAGGTACACTGAAGGCTGAGTAGTAATGAGTCTTTTAGCATGTCCCTTTTCAAAGGGAGAGTATGTCTGTAATAAAGCCCTTGAGTACTTTTTACAGGTCACTACAGGGAAAGACCCCTTTTATTACAATGCAACAGCAAACTTTAAGCAGCACACCACCACAGTGGTTAACCCTGGAAAGGCTGGTATAACATCCAACAGTGACACATCCTACAGAAGACAGACTGGTAAGATTAGATGAAAGCCTGACACAGCAATGGTCAAAATACAGCTTTCAACTGTAATTCACAATAAAAGTCCTAATCAGTAAAACTACTGACACCAGTTGAGAAAAGTAATTGCAAACTGAATTCTATCAGTGATTCCAACCTAGCTTCCTCTCGTCACAGTTTATAGGGGGAGGTGGGAAATGAGTAGCTCAGTATATAGTAAGGCTGACAGAGCGGTTCATTTTCTTTCCAATAAGTCGAGATGTTCTATTACTCTGGGTGGTGGACCTAGTGGCCATCCGGTCAGTGAAGAGCGCTCTTTCCTCAGCTGCAGCTTTTGCCATCTGTGCTTTCTTGAGTTCTTTTTGTAAAAGTGAATTTTTGAACTTTTCGGCATTCAATTCTATGCGTAACTGTTCTGCACTCTTTCTAGAAGCGGATAGCAACACTGAATGTTTTACCAGTGCCATTGCTGAAGGTCTTCTCTCTGGATCTGGATGAATCATAACCTTAAAAAGAAAAGTAAAATTAAGGTAAAGACATGCTTTTAATAAAATATAGAACCATGTCAATAAAGAGCTTCATATATAAAATGCTCACTTTCAGCAACTCTGTAAATTCTTGGGAAAGCACTTGTGGTATCCGAGGTAATCTACCCTGTCTGATTTCATGCCATTGATCTCCATTTCTGGGAAGAGGTTCAGCACCAGCAGCACATACCACTGTGAGGGCAAGCGCAAAAATATCTGCTTTTGGTAGATGGGTATAATTCTNTCATTATTCCAAGATATAACTGAAGAAAAGAATATAACATGTAACTGAAGCTTCTGTTAAAACAACTTAAATTTATGAAATGATTTTATTTTGTGCTTTTTAAATTAAAATATCACATATACTTGGAAACAAGTAATAAAGATACTAGTAATTACTTTGGGTCTTATAAAATAATTTGAGCTGGGTATGGTGACTCACAACTGTAGTCTCAGCTACTCTGGAAGCTGAGGTTGGGGGATCACTTGAGCCTCAGAGTTCAATACTACAGTGAGCTATGATAGTGCCACTGTACTCCAGCCTCGGTGACAGAGCAAGACTCCATCTTTTTAAATAAATAATATAAATAATTTCCAGAAAAACCTATCCCCAGTAAAAAAATTAGAAATAATTTGAAATAAAATTCCAATTTATATTGTGAATCTATCCTTCCATAACAGAGACAAAAAGAAAACTTTATTTCCTAGTTGTAAGAACTATGATGGATATCAAACTAGTGGCCAGTAAACATTTTAATATACAATTTTTTTAAAAAAAATTTAAGACGGGGTTTCACCATGTTGGTCAGGCTGGTCTTGAACTCCCGACCTCAGGTGATCCGCCCACCTTGGCCTCCAAAGTGCTTGGATTACAGGCGTGAGCCAGGAGTTAAATATTAAATCTTAATACTTAACGTAACCTTTCAAGTCAGTTTTATTAGGTGAAAATCAAAATGGCTGCAATACATCAGAAGAATTAGAAATATGATCTATGGTCACTTAATACTCTCCAATATTCTCGTTTTTAATTTTTTTTTTTTTTTAGACAAGAGCTCTGTCGCCAGGCTGGAGTGCAGTGGTGTGATCTCCGCTCCCTGCAACCTCTGCCTCCCAGGTTCAAGCAATTCTCCTGCCTCAGCTTCCTGAGTAGCTGGGACTACAGGTGCGTGTCACCACGCCCAGCTAATTTTTGTATTTTTTTAGTAGAGACAAGGTTTTACTATGTTGGCCAGGATGGTCTCAATATGTTGACCTCATGATCCACCCGCCTTGGCCTCCCAAAGTGCCGGGATTACAAGCTGGAGCCACCGTGCCCGGCCTCTTTTTTAAATTTTTGAAACAGTTTTGCTCTTGTTGCCCAGGCTGGAGTGCAATGTCGTGATCTAGGCTCACTGCAACCTCTGCCTCTCAGGTTCAAGCGATTCTCCTGCCTCAGCCTCCCGAGTAGCTGGGATTACAGGAGTGTGCCACCACACCCTGCTAATTTTGTATTTTTAGTAGAGACAAGGTTTCTCCATGTTGGTCAGGCTGGTCTTGAACTCCTGACCTCAGGTGATCTGCCTGCCTTTGCCTCCCAAAGTGCTGGGATTACAGATGTGAGCCACCACACCCGGCTGAATATTCTCTTAATAACCTTTACCACTGCAACCAGCTTTTCAAAAATATCAAGTCATTAAGTCAAATATGAGAATCTTCATTCAGCACATAAAGATTTAGTTAAAAACATATATATGGGAATCATCTACTAACCAAATTGACATTAATTTCATAAAATAAGAACAGAATGTTTCAAGGAAATATTAATTTTTGGTGAGTCTGGGAAGAAAAAGTCAATATAGGCTCACTTAGCATTTACTATCATGTATGGATTGAAGACTATCACCACTTGCAAATATATGTTAGTCTCAATATTTTTTTTTAAATAATTTTTTCTTTTTGGACACCACACAAAGCATAGTCTCAACATTTTTAAAGTTCATAATATCAAACACAGTTTAGAAACAACACAAATTTAATGTCAAATAATAATTTATGGCAGAAGTCCCCAAGCTTTCACTGTATAACATATCGAACTACTGGAGCTGGGTGAGGTGGCTCACGTCTATAATCCCAGCACTTTGGGAGGCCAAGGTAGGTGGATGGCTTGAGCCCAGGAATTCAAAACCAGCCTGGCCAACATAGCAAAACCCCATCTCTACAAAAAATATAAAAATTAGCTGAGCTTTGTGGCTAAGCTACTCAGAAGGTTGAGGTGGGAAGATAGCTTGAGCCTGGGAGATGGAGGTTGCAATGAGCCATGATAGCACCAGTGCACTTCAGCCTGGCCACAATGAGACTGTGTCTCAAAATACAAAAAACTTGTTTTGCATAATGATAAAACACACACACACACACACACACACACACACACACACACACCCTCTAAAATCCTTTGTTGACACAAAGCTTAAATCATCTCTCATTAAAATTTGAGAACTAAAGAGAATGAGAAAGTAAAAAGAAAACAAAAGCCCTCACTTACTTTTGTAAAAGTGAATTTTTGAACTTTTCGGCATTCAATTCTATGCGTAACTGTTCTGCACTCTTTCTAGAAGCGGATAGCAACACTGAATGTTTTACCAGTGCCATTGCTGAAGGTCTTCTCTCTGGATCTGGATGAATCATAACCTTAAAAAGAAAAGTAAAATTAAGGTAAAGACATGCTTTTAATAAAATATAGAACCATGTCAATAAAGAGCTTCATATATAAAATGCTCACTTTCAGCAACTCTGTAAATTCTTGGGAAAGCACTTGTGGTATCCGAGGTAATCTACCCTGTCTGATTTCATGCCATTGATCTCCATTTCTGGGAAGAGGTTCAGCACCAGCAGCACATACCACTGTGAGGGCAAGCGCAAAAATATCTGCTTTTGGTAGATGGGTATAATTCTGTAAAATTAAAAAAATATTTTTTTAAGTAATGTAAAACTGGTCAAAATAAAACAAGATTACACTTCTAAGATAATTTAGGTGAAAAACAGGACTAAATCAAAATGTCTAATGTCACATTCAAGTTTAGGACCTATTTAGAGAATAAACTGCTAAATTTGGGGAGGTTTATTTTTTAAATTACAAAGTAATATACACTCTAAGGGGTAAAACGCAAACACATATATAAAAGTAAATGCCTCTTCTTTATCAACAGCCAAATTTAACTCTCAAAAGAAACCCCTCTACCTCTAGGGATTCATATGCAAACACAAAACACATAGAAACACACTGATTTAATTCCATCTTCTCTAATCAGAAGAGAAAAAAAAAAAAAAACACACTTGATAAGTTACAAATACACATATGCAAACATATATATACACATATTTACAAAGAGCAATGGGATCATATAATTACACTTTGTATTTTTCTTATTCTATTTTCATTCAAAATTTTTATCAAGAAATACTTTGTCACATTCTTGAAACTATGTGCCACACTAATAACTATGTGCCATTATTTACTTAATAATTCTCTTATTAGTAAACACTATTTACATTGTTTTCAACTTGTGTTTATATGTAAATATTTCTATAAGGAAAAACTCCTAGAAGTGAAAATTATGAGTCAATGGGTACATGATTTTTAAATATTAATGCAATACTAATACTTTGATCTCCAAAAAGGATATGCCATTTAAAGTTCCACCACTGATGTACGAGAACATCTTTTTTTTTTTTTTTACCACAATTCCATTATAAATCTTTGTCTTCATGACTTTTTGCAAATGCCCTCAGCTCATGGTTTAGGTTTTATTTCTGTTCTACTGGTTAACTTAAAAGTTTAATACATCTGAATTTATATTCTTCTATCAACTGCTAAGTGTTACAAAGCAAACTTTAATTAAGGGAGAAAAATTACCTCCTGTAAAACTTCATTTGCAAGAAAACGACTATCACCCTCTTCAACTTGTGGACTGGAGATCCTTGTTACATGCCCAAGGTCACCTGGAAGTATTCAAAAAAATAGTCAGGAGCAAAAACAAAACAGCCTTCTCTTTATTTTAAGGTAATCTGGTTATCTTTTTTACCTATTTTAAATATAACTTTGTTGGATGCCCAGTCATCTTCATCTCCTTCTTCAGAGGCAGCATTTGGGATCGAGGTTCGAGATATGAAAATATTACCTGTCAAACAGTTAAGTATGTAAGCCAAACTAATAATAAAACCAGAGTTTATAAACAAAATCATACACCAAAATCATCCAGCATGCTTTTTAAAACGCCAATTCTCAAGTTCTATCCCAAACCCATGAAGAATAAGAATCTCAGGAGACACAGACTAGGGTTATATTTTCTGGGATTTTTTGTTTGTTTGTTTGTTTGTTTGCTTTTTGTTTGAGACAGTCTTGCTCTGTCTCCTAAATTAGAGTGCAGTGGCATCATCTTGGCTCTCTGCAACAAGGTTTAAGCAATTCTTACTCAGCCTCCTGAGTAGCTGGGACGAGAGGCACATGCCACCATGTCTAGCTAACTTTTATTATATTTGGTAGAGATGGGGTTTCGCTACATTGGCCAGGCTGATCAAGCACCTGGCCTCAAGTGATCTCCCGCCACAGCCTCCCAAAGTGCTGAGATTACAGGGATGAGCCACCACTCTGGGGCTCTGAGTATATATTTTCCAGCCTAGCTTTGATCCCTAAACACTTCAAAATGCATGAGGCCCTTGTCATCTGCACATTACTCTTCAGCAAAAAAGGTAGTAACTGTAATTTGTGAAATTCTGCGGAAGCACAAATTTTAATGTAGTGCTAGAAGGCTGGTGTGAGCAGAATGAGTCATTTAGCCAGTGAATCTGGCTGACAATACAGCATCTAGCCTGCAATATACCTTTGTGATTCACTATTTCCTACTGTATACACATTATCTTTTTCTTCAAATTCAGGTAAGATCATGATTAACACGAGCTGTTAATGGCAGATTTTATTTATTTATTTATTTATTTATTTTAAAAAAGACGGCGTTTCACCATGTTGGTCAGGCTGGTCTTGAACTCCCGACCTCAGGTGATCCGCCCGGCTTGGCCTCCAAAGTGCTTGGATTACAAGGCATGAGCCACTACGCCCAGAGTGGCAGATTTAAATAGTTTTATCAGTACAGTACTGCCCAGGTATGGTGGCTCATGCCTGTAATCCCAGTGCTCTGAGAAGCTGAGGTAGGAAGATTGCCTAAGATTTGGAATTCGAGACAAGTCTGGGCAAGACAGTGAGACCCTGTCTCTACAAAAATAAAAATAGCTGGGAATGGTGGTGCATGCCTGTAGTCCCAACCACTTGGGAGGCTGAGGCAGGAGGTTTATTTGAGCCCTGGAATTCAAAGCTGCAGTGAGCTATGATTGCACCACTGCATTCCAGCCTGGGCAACTGAGAGACTAACTCTTTAAAAACTAAGGCCTGGGACGGGAGCAGTGGCTCACACCTGTAATTTCAGTACTTTGGGAGGCCAAGGCAGACGGATCACAAGGTCAAGAGTTTGAGACCAGCCTGACCAACATGGTGAAACCCCATCTCTACTAAAAATACAAAAATTAGGCCGGGCGCGGTGGCTCACGCCTGTAATCCCAACACTTTGGGAGGCCGAGGCGGGTGGATCACAAGGTCAAGAGATCGAGACCATCCTGATCAACATGGTGAAACCCCGTCTCTACTAAAAATACAAAAAATCAGCTGGGCATGGTGGCGCGTGCCTGTAATCCCAGCAACTCAGGAGGCTGAGGCAGGAGAATTGCCTGAA